CCTAAGTGAAATATATCAAGCACATATGTGTAAATATTGCATTGTCTCTCTGGTGTAAGAAACTGAAAGTGAAAATAAAGACCAAAAAGAATAAAACATATTGTGAAATGGGAAGAAATTGCTCAAAATTATACAGAATGTGAAATACTTTGCAAATACTTAAAATGTCTTAAGCAATAAAAAGGGGGGATAGAGTATTATTGAGAAATGAACTGAGAGATGAGCAAATAAAAATACATTCTTTCTAGACCATGAAAATAAAACTAAGCCGTTCTCCCCAGGGCTAAGCAATGCCTGTCTCTGCTCTTCCTTGTGTCCATCCTTCATCCTTCTATCAACCAGCAACATCAGCACTGCTGATACTTGGTCAATCACTAAATTTGAGTCTGTGGGGCCCACTGTGAGGTAGCTCGTCATCCTTGCTTTAATCATCCGTGACCTGTCAGCAGCTTCATGGAGCCGGGTTAAGGAGGAGAAGGACTGGCTCTCTAGGAAGGGAGTGTGTGGTTTTGTCAATGAGTTTGCTGAGAATATTTCAGTCTTTAGTTCTCCAATGCTCCATCTCTTTATTCATTTGTCAATTCGTTTACAAAAGTTAATGTGTGATCAAAGTGACCACTCTAAACCTTTTACTGCGTTTCTGGCGGCGGGGAGTAGGAGGAGAGTAACACAAACCAGTATGTAAACCGAGGAGTACATATTCCATTAGGAATGTAAGCCAAGTACAGGGATGTCTGTAGTATGGAGATGAAAGTGCTATAAAAGCCCTCAAAGAGAGCACTGAGGCATTTTAACACAGAAAGAAACATACACATTTCTGTCCAGAAATCATGCATCTGGCCCCATATCTCAGAGGAATGGTGGAATTAAATTTCCAAGAATTGAAAGAATTTTGAATCTATGGCTGTCTTTCCATGTCAACCTGCAAAGTTATTTCCTTCTGAGAAGTAAATATAACAAGTGAAGTAACGGGGCTTTGTCAGGCAAAGCCGTGCCAGGCCAGAGGGCTATGTGTTGTATCAATAATAAATGTGTGTGACTACATAACATTTCCAAAGAGTCTATAGGGCTCTTCAGAAAGATGATCCTCTTTGCCAAGACATCTCCATGCTGGTGAAAATGCAGCTGAAGGTATTCTATGGGTTATTTTCTACTTCCCCAACCAGATGTATAGCCACAATCAAATATGAATCTAAAATTATTAATTTTATTAGGAGTCATGGATCCAAAGTTTTGCTGCTCTTGACCATGGAGATAAGATTTCTCAGCTCCACTTCAAGGAGAAAAATTATCTCAGTTAATTCTCAAGAGCTCAAGATCTGACTAATTATTAGTCAGCTCATGAAGATGTAATAAAATCTTAAGTGTATATTTTTTCTGCTCTTTAAAAGTTCTATAAAGGCATCAACACATTGAAAATAATATTATCGGCGGCAGGCCTCAAAATTGGATATGTTAAAGATGCCAATTAGATGTTTTAATCTTTAGTTCATCAAACTCTGAGGTTGAAGGTATAAGGTTGGACATAAAGCAAGGATTACTTGGAAGAGGTTTCCTATTTTGCTAGATGTAAATGTTATCAGTAGAAAAACATCACTGTTGATGCTGGGAACAAAGGATTTTTTTTTCTCCTCCGAAGTTAAATGAGAGTTTTAAGAAAACACTCAAGGTCTTGGAAGCGGCTCAGATAGGGGAAGACAGATGCTGAGGAGAAAGTAATAAGTGAACCTACAAAGAAAATCTTGCTTTATCTTCAAGAGGAGAAACTCTTACAAGAAGAAACCTTCGGGAACCCAAAAAGAGCCAAATAAGAAAATCCTCCAACCTGGACATGGTTAAACCCAGACATCAACAAACCACTGTGTGCCTTTGCCATCTCCTGTCCCACCCCACAGGTGCCTGATTCTAGAGGGTCCTCCTATATTAGCATGGAAAAAGGCACACTCAACCAAATTCTTCCTTCCCTTCAGTGAGCAAGCCCAAGACAGGGAAATGAGAAGCTTAAAATTGATTAAGAATTTGTGTTAGATTGGACCAGGTACTTTTACTACCTGAGACCGGCCAGAAAAGTTATGATTCATGCCTGGGAATTTATTCAGAGAATCATTTGCTGCAGCTTTAAAGTGTATCCACAAATGCTTTGATATGGCTTTCTTCAAGTGGTAGAGTTCGTTTCCCCTCCTCGTGTGTATGAGTTAAATTTAAGGACTCCTTTGTAAGGAGTACAATATGGCGGAGGGGATGCTGTAAGACGGAGTCATACAAGATGCTATATCTCTTCACTTTTAAGCTTGTATAACGCACCCTGACAGAAGCTGCCTACCATGCCATGAGGATGCTCAAGCAACTCTGTGGGTTCCAATGGTGAGGAACTGGGGACTTGGACCTAGAGACACAGTAGCGACCCACCTTGGCAGTGAGAGTCCAGCCCCATTCAAGTCTTCAGACAACTGCATGTCTGGCTGGCTTTGTGATTGCAGCCCAGTTTGGGTCCTGGAGCCAGAGCCACCCATCTAAGTCATCCTTAGATCTGGACTTTCAGAAACTCTGGGACATAAAAAAAAATTGTAACTTTAAGCTGCTAAACTTTGGGGTGCTTTGTTTTGTGACAATATTTAAACAATATGGTGTGATAATAAGTCCATGGAGTAAAAATTAAAGGGTAGATAGGACAAAATTTGAAGTTGCTTCCTGACTGTACTCTCCCAAGCCCAGCTCATTTAATAAATCAGTCGCACAGAGAGAAGATGTAGTACCAAGTGGTGTTGACTGCCTTTCCGTCAGTCTCTTCCTCAACAATTATATCGAGATTTATAAGTGGGGAGAAAAACCTGCTCACCATGTAATAGCAGAAGGTCACCTCTGAACAAAACCCAACACGCCCAAGAAGTTACGTCACCATTGTGGTTATGAAAGCAGTCTTTGGAGGGCATCAGATTCAACTGGGTTGGAGCCTAGAGTTTGTCATTTATTAGCACCATGCCTCAGGGAAGTAATCACTTTATTTCTGGAGTTTCTATAAATTATCTGTAAATCAGAAAAGCAATTTCTGTGGTGGGAAGATGATTGATTTCAGATATTCTATGGGAAAATTAGGGAGATGACAAAGTATCTGATCCCTACCATTCCTCCCCACGACTCTCTGTTTGGGATCAGAAAGTGAGCATCCACCTCTCTGCTCCATGTCCCAAAAGTAACCGAAGGAGAAGACAGCTGGCTGTGAAAGCCCAGGAGCACAAACTCTGAAATCCCTGCACACAAGGAGGCTCAACCTGGCCACTGATGGGAGTGGAGCCATCAATGATTGAAGCTGCACTGGCGCATAGAATTTTGCACAAGACAAAGAAAATACTTTTGTGTATGTTAAAAAGTAGAACAGTGTTGATTGATGATGGGAGGCAAAGGAAAGCCCCCTACAGACACACACACACACATGACCACACAGGTCCACACACACCCACACACATGGTAAGCCTTCCTTTGGACCCAAACACCAATTCCAAACAGTATGGAATTTTCCCAGTGGTAACAGGGGTTCTGAGATGAGATTATTTCTGAACAAGGGTCTGGTCACAGTACTGTAGAAGAGCAAGAAACACCACAGGACAAAGAGCTGAATGAGACAGGGCAATGATGGGAAAGGGTTCCAGTTTAGTTTGAGTTGATGCAATTCACCACTTCCCAGATCCCCACCAAGTCTCACCTCATTTCACCTTATCCATGGTAAGTCGAAATGCCCCCTGCAGAGGCAGAGTGGGAGAGACAGCCTGCTTATGGTCTCCTATTGGTGATGTTTGTCAACATCAGCAGTGTGGATATTTGGGGCCAGATAATTATTTGTTGTGGGGAGTTATACTTTCATTTTAAGACATTTAGCAGGATTCCTGAGACAGGTCCATCAGATACAAAACTCCTTCCCCATGGTAACAACCAAAATTATCTCCAGACATTGTCAAATGTCCCCTGATAGCAACATTGCCCCAATAGAAAAGCAATGTTTTCCTGTGGCAGTAAAGGCATTATGAACTTACTGCAGCACAAAAAGAGCTTATTGCTTCATAGGATGAAAAGATTCAGGCATAGAACCAGCCTTAGGATCCAGGAGCCCAGCTGGCATCAATCACTTAGATCTGTCCTTTTCTTTTTTCCTCCAAATCCTTTAGCATTAATTCCATTTTCACACAGACTTTGCCTATAAGATTAATTTTTAAAATTCTAGTATTGCATGTTTATTTGCAAATTAAAGAAAAATATTTCCTGTCTTCTTCAATAATTTGATTTTAAATATGACCCTGATTAGTCTGATATGAGTCTCGGGCACGTGTTTGAAGCAGGAATTGTAATCACAGAGTGCATGCTAATGGCTGTGGGTCTGGTCAACCTCACCCAGTGTCCTATACTGATCCTCAGGGTGGATTTTGTAAAGCAAGTGTAGATCTAGTACTAGCAAACATCAGGATGGAACTTGAAGTTTGGATGCAAAAACTAACATTCAGTCTCCAGGTGATCCAGGATTCTCTGGGCCTGCACATGCTTCCAGATGGAAATCAGCAAGGCTGGTTTCCAAGCTTTCTCAGAACTTCGGGCCCTTGGTTAAGAATTATTAGTTACAGGGCCTGGGATCTAGCTCAGTGGTTCCGTCGCCTGCCTCACAAGCCCAAGGTCCCAAGGTCGATCCCCCATACCAAAAAACAAAAAACAACAACAAAAAAGAATTATTAGTCACAAAGCCTTGGAGAACCACTAACACTGAACAGTGGAGACAGCACATAGTTCATCTCTTGAGAACTTTTCAAAAATAGTCACCTCAAAGATGCAGAGGAGGATTTCTTTGCCTTCTACAGATTAGAAGAAAAAACGAAAGAGAAAAAAAGACAGGAAGAAGAAGAAAAAACCAACCCTGAGCTGCCTGACTGTCAGCCTCCGTGTGCATCAGTCAGTCTGCAAGCCACCCACAGCCGCCCGCACCCCAGCAACCGCGAACGTGCAGCCTGGCCTACCTGCTCACACCCCGAGGAGGGCCCAGCCAGCTGACAGCCAGGCTGGCAACCCAACAGGCTCCGGAGGCCTCTCCCCCGTGCCTCAGTTCCCGGGTTACCAGCTCCCTGGGGCCCAGCAGGCTGCAGAAAGGGGAAGGAAGTGAGCCTCCTCAAACTGAACAGCAAGCCCTAACCAACCCTCCTGGGCGGGCTGCAGGCCCCTGCCTGGGCGACTCACTTTGGGCCTCTTTCTGCAGCCTGGCAGACCAGAGCCTCTAGCTGCATTTCAGGAGCCAGTCTGGGCCCTGCTTGAGGCTTGGGCCATGCTTGCTTGTGCCTGAGCTCAACACAAACTGAACACAACCGTTACTGGGGGAGAAGAGCAGTGGAGGAGGAGGAGAACAGAGGCGGTGCCAGGAATTCCAGGGCGCAGTCGGCCAGGAGCTGGGTGCCAGGCTCTGTGGGCCGGGCCGAGCCATAAATAGCACTCTCCTGGGGCTGCAGCCAGTGGTGAGCTCCCCCAGCCCTCTGTGAGCCACTTGGGCCAAGCACTGGGAAGGCTGGGGCTGGCCTTCTGCACAATGAATATGGTAATGACAGTGAAAATGTGATTTCCTCCACTGCAAAGTGATGATAACAATATTTCATTTTCCCTCTGAGTGGTGTAGTGAGGATTAAATGAAGTAAAATATACAGAGTGCATTGAGTAGCGTCTGCCTTAGAGCAAAAGCTCAATGAATACTGGCACGTAAGCATGAGAGGCTGCATGGGAGAAAGAAGAGACCAGAAGAACCGCTGACTGGCCTCACCGCCTGCTGGGCTTCCTCTCTCCTCAGTTCCGCTCCCTCCCCTGGAAACGCTGACCTCATGGCTTCCTGTGAGAACGTGTCACTCAGCATGAGATTCTCAGCGAAACCTCAGCTCTCTGCCAGGTAGACAGGATTTCTGAGGCAGTTAGCGGCTGTGTCATCATGGTCGGCACTATCGCCAACCTGAGTGCTCTTTACTTGATGACACATCATCATGCTGCGTTCCTCAGTTCCTCACTTTTCAATGTGTGCAGTACCTAGAGGGACAGGATGGACGTCCCCTCCGCTGTGGAGATTCGAACATGGGATCCATGGAGGTTAAATCCTTCGTCTGTAACCTGCCACTAGGAAGAAATAACGGGGGGGGGGGGGTTTCTCACGCGGAAGCTCACTGCATTTGCCACACCTCCAAAGTAGGACTGAGGCCATCAAGTGACCCATGTGGCAGCCCCTGCTTGTTGAACGCCTACAAGACAGACTGCAGGTCCGGTTCTAGGAGCTCTCTGGGCCAGGAAGAGAGGGGAACAAGTGCATCCTGGGTAGTTCTGTCACCAACCCTGGCAGGTCCTCTCCTCTGCACTAGTTGCTTGCTTCTTTCTCCAAATATCACCTTTATGCACACTGCGTGCCTCCTGGCAAGACCGAGTCTCCAGTCACCAACTGCTGCACCGTCCTGTGCCCTGTTCAGAGGATTCAGTTTCTGCACAGCCTTCCAGCTCTCTTCTCTTGCCTCCTCCACTCTCCTCCCAGTCTTACAAAAGGCTTCCTCAGCCTCACAGCAGCTGAGTGGGTCCTGGAGGGAAGGCCAGCTCCCTCGTCTGCTTTGCTATTCACCTCATCATCCAGGAGCAGGCACTCGCAGCTCAGAGAGACCCAGCCGGGGTGACCATAGCACCAGGGCCCGTGCCCCTTCAGGGCGGAGCTAAGTCCTCCAGCGTCTGAGGCTGCCCTCCCTCATCATCAGAGGTGATGTTTTAGAGTGTGCAATCTAAATTATTCCGCCATTCAATAGGCCTTCATTCTTCTCCATAAGAACACTGTTCATTTAATGGTCTCTTTTGATATTAATGTGGGTGTCAAAATGTGGGTTATCTGATGGGTGCCCTAACATAGAAGTGATTTCTAAAGAAAATGTTAAAAAAGAAAAACAAAATGGCTGCCGATGGATGTATTATGCGTTTTAACTGTATAGAGACTAGTAAGAAATATTTATCCTTACAAAAGTATCCGATTTGACAACATAAGGAAAAGCCAAAGCTGTCAAAGGCACACAAACCATACCAAGGTGTTGCTCATCTGACACAGATATAAAATGAGTCACATTTGTCAGGAGCTTTTACAGGAGGAACGAGAGGTGGGTGTGGATCTCTGTACCAGAATCCAGCAGTGAAAGGTTGTTATTTGCTTAAATGCCATGCTTCACAGATTGGAGAAGTACTACTCATTTTGAATGGCATCCATTAGGCTCCTACCTAGCTCAAATTCTCCAACCAGAGTTTAGAAATAGGAACAAACCTCGTCAGTGGTCAGACATTTAAAGAAATTGTAAAGAGTTGTTTCCAAAACAATTTCTTTAAAAGAGTCAGAGCCAACTCTTTACAATTTCTTTTTTTCTGTTGGACTCATATTTTGACCTGGAAATCTGCTTGACCTTCAAAAGAATACCAGATCTGCGGTCCTGTGTATTTTCCTAGTTTGGGATTAATGTTAATCAGGGAAGGATCTGCTCCCTAAGATCTATGGGAGATGCAGGGATAGGCCTTTGTTCATGTTCTCCAGGTCTACCAGCTGGATGAGCTGAGTAGAGCACTTTTACTGTTAAGGATACACTTACCCCACTCAGAAGAAAGGGTCATGGCTACAGCTGAGGTGTCAGAGGGGACATAGAGAAGTCACACACCCAGGAGGCTCCAGGAGCAAGCTGAGAGTCTAGGCTCTGGGTAGGAGGACACAGCTGAACAGTAGTTTCGCAAATCACCTTAACAACACATAGAAGTTGCGCTTACCAATCTATCCGTTTGCTACACATTTCTTGGGAAACCATGCTTCACATGGTGCTCTGGACTTGAGATCCAGTAAAGAACACAGGATAATTCTCCACCCTTTTTGAGTTTGCATCCTGATCGAAGAAACAGACGATACACAGACACATTTTTTTTAAAGTAGTTTTAGCAAAGAGTAAATGCCGTGAAAATAATGAAGATCTCCACTGCCAGAAGCACACAGGAAATGGAAAAGCACAGGGCACACAGGCTCACTCTCTCACAGCCCACCATGAGGGATGAATAGATCGCTGAAGAGAAAGAAAGGAGTTAACATGTGCAGTACAGTTGTTTCATGTTTAAAGAAATGACAAGGAGAAAAAAATGAAATTTGAATTGTGATCCATAAGCCAAGGAGGAGACTGACGTTGGGTCCAGAACGGGTGCCAGGGTGGGTCCCAAGCCTGCACTGAAGCCGGCCCCGCAGGGGACGAGAGGCACAGATGGAGGAGGCAAAAAGCAAATGCAAGATGCCCCTGGGGAGAGTGCGCCCTGTCTGTGCCCTCCAGCACTCATTTACCACTAATATTCAAATAAATACTGTCTATTTGACCTCAGAATTATAACTACAAAACACGAAATACATGAAATATTGGAAGGGCAGAGTGGGATAAATAAGCAACAAGGTTTGGCTGGAATGATGGGGAAGATGTTTTTAAAAAAGGATCAAATGGATTTGAATTTCTGAGCATTCAGATGGTAATCTAGGTTATCCAGTCCAATGCACTGCATAAAAACAAAGAAAAAATATATTGAAATTTCCTATAATGATTTTTTTAAGTGAAAAAGATAAAAAGATTTACCGAGCCAAAAAGCCTAAGCCAGCACTTCTCAGCCTGTCCTTCACCTGTGCCTGGGGACCCCAAGACAAATGAAGGGAGAGAAAGGGTTAAAACCATGCCTTTCACGATACTGATATATTATCTACCTCTTTCTGAGTTGATATTTGTACTGATGGTGCAAGTGGACCTGGGAGAGGAGGGACAAAAGCTATGGTACAGTTCCACCGAGCAAGGCAATAGCTCTAAACGGTCCAGCGGTCAGAATATTCTGTTTAACCATTACTCACAGGAAAACATAAAAAGGTTAGTGGTAAAGAGTTAAGGGAAAACCAAGTTCAACTAATACCTTTGGTTGAATAGTAAAAAACAATGAACCTTCTCCAAACCTGAGCAGTGAGTATGGTGACTGTTTAACATTGTGTGTAATGAAATGGGTAGACACATAAACCTTTCCATCACACACCAAAGTCGAATGTTTGCCATGCGGAACAGCGCTGTGCTTTGGTCTGTGAACATACTAGTCTCTTTCTGCATGAATTACCTATTTTTAATTGAAGGGAAAATGAAGAAAACTATGATTCTTCAGATTTGACTATTTTCCAAAATTTGTCTTGTAAGTGAAGGAAGAAAGCTTTTTAATTCAAGGAAAATAACTGGGAGCTTTTGTTGCCCATAATAAAATTTGTACCTTAAGCAAAAATTAAGATTTTGGAAAACTTGTATCTGCCTCTGTGAGCTTGAAAGCTTTCCCTATGCACACTATTCTGATACAGTTAGTGGTGCTATTAATATCTGTAATTTTTAATCACAAACTTAATTTTTGTCAGTTTGATTCTTATAAGTCAATTGAGTGGATAATAGGGAATTTCACTACATCCCATCTCATGCAATTTCACTGATATCTTGCATCAGTGTGGTTCATTGGTCAAGCCAATGACTCAATATTGATATGTTTTATTAACCTAATTTCGTAGCATATATTAGAATTCATTCTTTGTGTAGTACAATTCGATGTGTTTGGACAAATGTGAAATGTTATTTATACACATTATAGTCTCATACAGAATAGTTTTTCCACTGTAAATGTCCCCTATACTTTGCCTATTCATCCCTTTTTCCACCTTCCCAAAACTCCTGTCAGTTTATCATCTCTATAATACCACCTTTGCCAGAATGTGACAGGATCATATGACATACAGACTTTTCAGGGACGCTTCTTTCACTTAAAAATAGGCTCTAAGATCCCTTTCTGCCCGTGTCTTTCCATGGATGGAAAGCCTCCTTCTTATAATATCCCATCATATAGATGTACTAGATTCTATTTATCCCTTCACTTATTGAAGGACATTTTTGTGGTTTCCAATTTTGGGCAATTTTGAATAAAGGTGCTATAATCTTTATGTGCTACACTTGTGGTTGTTTTCAACTTGCTTGGGTAAATATCTAGGAGCACAAATGTTAAACTGTATGGTAAGAAAATGTTTAGCTGTGTAAGAAATTGCCTAAGTCTTCTCTAGAGTAATTTTGTGCTCTGCCAAAATGAATACACACTGCTGTTTCTCCACGTTCTGGTTATTATGTGGTAATGTCAAGGTTTTGGAGTTTAGAAAATTTGTACCATGAGCTTGAAATCTTCTTTATGAGTTAGTGGTGATATTAATATATGTAATTTTTAATTAATG